TTTAATATCCCAAATAAATTCCACGGAATAACTTACTTCACTACTTTAAACCACAAAACTGAACAATATCTTTCGTAATTATACGCGCCTAGTGATAATGAATGTCGCCTAAGTAATATATTTTTCGTTTCGAGATATTTAGACTTTTTAAAACTTTTTCCTATTAAAAAATACCTCCAAGTTTCATCTTACTATTCAATACTAGTTTGCCAAACTTATTCTACATTGTTTACATTTACATTGTTACAATTTACCAATACAGTTGACGTTTTACTTTGCTATTCGTCATTCTCCATACCAAAAATGCAAAACAAAATTCTATCCACGTGTAATACTTCAAAATCCAACATACCATTCTACCAGAACCACTAAATTATTCTACAAATCTTCTACTAATAACACTGCTTTCCCTGTCTTAATTGTCCTAACATTTTTGAGCATTCGACGAAAATGAAGTTTTATAATTTGAACCATTTGTAAAATAGTTAGGATAAATAACTTAGATTGCTTCTAGAGCTCTGCATAGCACGTAGAATATTCTAACTTTGCTTGAAAGATGAAAAACACGAGGAGCTCCAAATATTTTGAAACTCCCTGAAAAATGAAAACAGACGTTTTAGCCAAGGAGAGCAGCATAATATCGAATATAATTCTTAAAAGTTCGATTTCCCATTCCACCAGAACCATTAAATTATTCTACAAATTCTCTAACGATAACAAACGTTTCGAGAATCTCTCTGGAAGATTTATATCTGTAACCAAAGCTTTCACCAAAAACAAAAGATTCGTGTTGATTGAGATAGTTGTTCAGTAGCTATTTCACGCGTGGTCATGCTTAAAGTGTGGGCAAATAGGTTGCCACCATTCGGTCGCGAGAGATTCCGGAATTAAAAGCGGAACAGATAGGCTGGACAATTCAAGGCGGTCCGTATGAAATTCCAAAACGACCAATGCATCTGCTCAGTCTATTTTGCCGCCGCGTAATTTAGCCGGCTGTTCGCTCGTATTATCCTGACCTGGGGTATAAGCGAGGTGACATCGGTGTCCCGGAAGCTCGGCGAGTATCAGCCGTGCAGCTCGTGTCTGTCGACGCTTTTTCGGCAATTTGTCTCACAGTCATCTTTGAATAGCAATTTTTATGGAGCATTTGGTAAAGTGGTCAGGGAATTTTTGTAACGAAAACACTGAAATCTTTAAAATTCCATAAAAAATTTGTCAAGAAACTGGCTGAAATACGCATAATGCCTACTAACAAGTTGCCGAAATAACGCGAAAACTGTGAAACTGCATTTTCGGTTTGAGGTTCTTTATATACGCCACCCGGTATGTCATATATTGCATATTAAGTCATTCGGAATAACTCCATCAAAAGTTAACATATTTACACAAAATAAGAACCGTTACAATTGATACACCTTCGCCAACGTTTCACTAATTTATTTATGCCATCTAGAAAATATAGGCATATAAATCCGGGAATACTTCCATATCCTGCGGAACATTAAAGACCTTTCTTTTGTTACCTACGATGAAAATTGGGTACTTTACGGATAATCGGATTAATTGGATCTTAACCTAATCACTTTCCAAAACTTACTGGCAGAACTATGTATTCACCGTAATTTTTTGAAAAAGGGAGAAATGATTGTGGCAAATAAGTATTGCAACGAACTTAACGAAATTCGTCAACAGCTGTGAGCTATCCGTCCAGCACTAGTCAACAGAAAGAGTCCGATTCTTTTGCACGATAACACCTGACCCGCACGTATCATTAATTACAGTGTAAAAGTTAAACTACCTTGAATACGAGACTCTACAATATTCCCCTTATTCTCCAGATCTTTCGCCAACAAATTATCGTCTGTTCAAAGTTTCAACTTGAAACATTTTCATCATTTTCGAAAAGAACGCAATGTGGAATAGGCGTTCGTGGACATTGTTGATTCCAGACTCCGTAGTATTTTTTCGCAGATGGCATAAATAAATTAGCGAAACGTTGACAAAGGTGTATCGATTGTAATAGTTCTTATTTTGAAGAAATCTGTTAACTTTTGGCGGAGTTATGATTATTTGAATTCAAACGACGAAATCCGACAGGGCTTTCCGAATGACCCAATAACATTATACGTATATAAAAGTAAGAAGGAAAGAAACAAGTTACAAAAATAATCATAACACACCGTAAAGCGTTCCAAAAAAAGATAATCAGCTAAAAGAGGCGGAGTAACCCTATAATTACCTTGAAACCTCTCCTTTAGCTTTCAAAATTAACCAATTACCCCTCGAGTGTATTACCAACAAATGTATTATATTTATTAAGAAAACACAGTTTAAACGACGCCAATATTTCGTTTTCTCCTTCAATCTTTAACGATCGGCCTCGGGAAGCTCTTTGTTCGATGGTTTTGGACGTTAACGAATGATCGGTCCATGACTTTTATTCCCCGAATAACATCCGTTCGTTCCCTCTGTACTTACGTCGAGGGCGGAGGAAAGCGAACGAAAGCTCGTCTGGCCGTAGAAGACGAAATGTTTATGCAAGAATGGCGAGGGAAGAGTCGGATGCAAGCCAGTCTTTTATGCGTCAAACAATGTCGTCCAGTTCAACGACACGTGGTGTGCTGGCGCCGTTCAACGCGAGACAGACGACACAGTTCACAAAAGCCCTTTCTAAACCGGCATTCTTCACCTCCTTTCGTGCACCGTCGACGTCGAAGCACGCATGGTCATTAGCACGGTAACGTCTTGCATAAAACGGGAGGCGGCTAATTGTTCCACCATAGCTCGGGCTTCAGACGCTCGATCGATTGATTGATGGTCCCTTTGTGCCTCTCATGGGATTGGCTTCTGGTATTTATGGAAGCTTTCTGTTAAGGATAATGCTGGATATGAGAGTAGAATGTGAGTTTTGTATGGTAAATGCGTTTCAGTGATATTTCGTTTTAATGCAAACGAGGGAAAAATTAGGGGGGAACTGTTTCACTGACGTTACTTGTACCTTTAAAAAAGGACGGATAATTTGACACTTGTATTATCAAAAATGATATATGAGCCGCTCAGAAGCCAAAGTGCTTCACGCCATTGAACAAAATTTATTATTATTATTATTTATGGAAAGTTAAGCATCAATCTTATGCTTCGGTATGAAAATTGGAAAAATTGCAAAAATCTGAAATACTTCTGTTATATTTAAAGTTTCATAAAAATGTTTCTTCTAAAAATTGCATAGTTTTATGGGAACAGTAACAATAATTTGATTGTATTAGGAGGAGTTAATGAGATACAAAGCTTAACTTCATTTTTTTTCATGGAATTTTATATTTTCATTTTTCCATAACCTACGACAATAAGTAGATACTTGTGTAAACAAAATATTCTGTTTAATTTTGATATGTTATAACAAGGTACCTACTGAAACTAAGAACTTTTTCATCTTATTATGTGCAATGAAGTTTGAAGAGGATTCATTATGAATCCTCGAATTTTGCTGCGTTAAATTGCTTTTTCTAAATGGAGTTTTTGGGGATATGTGTGCAGTAAGATACTAATTGGACAGCCGTCGACAGCCAGATGACCGTCGCGTCGTGGAACAATAGGCGAGCCTCGACTTTCGCGACCATCGACGGGCAGAAGGACTGACAACGATTTTTTGGGAAAAACCCCGATTCTCGCCCCTTCCGCCTTTGTCTCCGACAGCACACGTACCACGCGCCCGAACAACCAATTACCTCACCGTTACCATTTCCACCTCATTTCCCTTGCCCAGTCATATGCAGTTCCATGTCACCCGCGTCGCATAGCCATCCTCGTCCACGGAGAGTTACATTCCATCCCTCGACAGTTCCAATTCATCCTTCACCAGCCACAAGTCAACCTTCTCACACATCAAGCATTCGCACTCATACGCTACAAAAATAAAGAGTTCAGTAAACGGTAGCCAAGTGTAACTCAGTCCACCTACAACCAGGCTGAAGTGATTAAGCTCCCAACAGTCAGCGTCCCTGCAGCAACGGCAGAAGCACCCTGAGACGGGCCTTACAACCCCGTCGTGTTCCACAAGAGAATACACGGTGTGCAGGACGCAACAACTAATAAAGAAGGGAAAAGCTTGACTATTATCAATGATAAAGAAAATCGGCACAGATGAATAGCAGCTTGGAAAGTATCAATAGTAAAGGATTATGGATATTCGTCAAAACAGGCAATATCTACAAGATTTTATATGTATACCGTTTTTTAACACATTCGCGTCGGATGACGCACATATGCGTCATTCAGGTATTCACTTGGATTTCGAATGACGCGAAATACGTCATTGAGACTTTCACATATCTGTCTGAAAGTAAATTTATAAAACGCTGTAAATGATTGAATTTCTTTTCAGAAATGCCGTGACAGATGTTTCACGAATTCTAATAATTGTATACGTTTTACGAAAAAGTAATTTACCACATTCTTGAAAATTTCTTTGAAAAATAATAATTAGTTGAAAAGTGACGATTGAAAGAAAAGACGCGAAATCACCCCGTGCACATGTTAAGCGCTGCTCTAAGAGCCCCGTCGCCAATGTGTTAATATAGAATTGAACTGAATACATGGTTGCAATTAAATAAAATCGTAGTCTCGTTGGCATAGGTAAAAGTTATGCATATAGAATTATGAAATATATGAATTCTAATATCTTCCTATTTAGATCATTTTGTTAAACACTTTACTAATTTTTTCTCAATTTTTGTCCATAAATAAAAATTAAGGAAAATAGTTCATATGTTTGATCTTGAAAGTCAGTTTATTATTATAAAAGTATTTTCTTACTTTTACCATTTATACATACACTTTGTCAGAAACATGATAAGAAATAGTAATTTTTGGAGTAGCAAATCACATTACAATTTTCAAAGCACATTTTACATAAAGCCTTGAGATTTCAGGTTATCTTTACATAAAAACTACTGCATTGTAAAATATTCAACTTCTCATTATCAATATTTTAAATTGAAGTAAGACATTTTTATTTAAAAAATAAATAGTTATATAATGCAACGTATTAATTATTAAATTTTTTTTCGAAAATAATATTCTCATAATCACAGTGTCAATCATTATGTGAACGAATCAGTCAACATTGTGTAATAGAGAATTTTCCGACCCGATTGTATGTAATCGTTGTCGAAGAGACCACTTGGAAAATGTTAACCAAATGTGAATAACCAATAAAGTGCATTATACTACTGTATTTTGAACCCTTTACACTCGAGTAGTATTTCAACATTTCCTTCTATCAACTCGATAATCATAAATATAACTTTTCAGATTTTATCATTTATTTGGCAAAATTTATCAAATTTTACATTTTATACCGAGTTGGTAGAGCTAATAAAAGTGCTTAATTTCAATTTATCCCAGAAAAAAAACATGAAAAGTTCAGAGCTTTCCCAACTTCCTGCACGCGGTGCTTCCTTCAATGGAAGTTTTCGGTGTCCTCGTGGTCAGCAATGCTGAAGCGTGAGTGAAAAAGTGCGCTCTCATTAGTTGCGTTCCGAGAAGTTGGTCTCCCGTTTATCGTATTTTGTCGGACAAGGCATCTATCAGTGTCCAGTGATGAGAACTGTTTAACCTTCCCTTGATTCACGTGATCGATAACGCGTGTCTCTGGCTCGTACGGTACAACTATATATCGTCTATCGCTCACCCCATATCCTGTATCCTGTGTCGGGATATCGGATTATCACGCGGTAAGCGTTTTTCTGTGGCTCTCCGTTGCCGCCTCCGAGTCCTTTTAGCATCGTTTTCTCATCGTCCGCTCCGTTTCGTCTTTGTTGCTCTGTTTCGCGTTCATCGTACTCCAAGTTAGCTCTACATTTTTCTTCCGGGAGAAACTTCCGTAAAGAAGCTTTGTCCATTGTTTCACGGTACAACTTCATTAATTTATGGAGAAACTGACATAACTGCGTATTTACCGAAATTATTTCAGTGATAGAAAATTTGTCGTTCTAATCATTAGTTCAGCTGCAAATCAAAGACGGTCTAGCAGAGTTGTTCCTTCTTCTTTTCACCCGTTCAATTGTAGGCCAAGAATTGTTTATTATCAGTTTCATTGTGATTATGTTGGCACTGTACAGATATTCTTCTTTGTATAAAATTGAGGTCAAGGTGTGCTTAATTGTTAATTATTGGTGTAAAAATTCAGTTTTGTAGAGAAAATATTCAATACGAATTTAATTAATGTTACTCGTTTAAAAGCAAATTTGAAATTGAATAGGAGGAAACTATACCGAATTACGTATTTAGTAGATCTGTAGAACTGCAAGAGGAAAATTTTTATCCTAGCGAATAATTTCGAAGTTCTGTTTCTTCAACAAATAGCACTAATAACTGGGATCATTCTTGAAAATTCTATCTTCTTATTTTCATCGGTACCTTCTTCGCTAATTAATACTTTTTGCACCAAAGTCCATTGAAAAAGGTACTTATGGTACCATAAAAAATGTAACATTTGATTCTTATTTATACCGGTAATGCTTCGACATGTGTGTAATAAATCCCTGTCACCTCCACTCGAAAGTCAACGAGGCTTCTGAAACGAAAGTAGCAATAAAAAGTTTTGATTTTTATGAATGTTTAAACGAAACGCGGTTTCACGGATGGTCGTCGAGGTCGCACGAAGAAAGGTCGAGTGTCTTTAAAGAAAAGTATTCGATTTCTTGGTTGACCGCATATTTCTCGCGGCCGTAGCTACGATCCCTTCATCCTTACACGCGATAAGTTTCTCGATGGGGAGGCTGCTTCCGGAAAGGCTTCGAGGAAAGCCTACCGTTGCGTTCGCTAATCCTTGCACTAAACGCAAACGCAGAGTAAGTTAGCCGTTTCTCGTATTTCCGCAAAAGATTTCACCGTGGAAAATTTATGCAACGTGTTTCGCGAATAAATCAACAAACTTCGCCAGCATGTTCAAAATGTCACTATAAATGAAAAATGTTTCTAAACATTGTTCGTGTCTTAACACAGAGATCTGTAAAGTTTCTTCGCATTTTACACGTATTACATACAAATAACGAATAAATTTGATAACGTTATGGTAAAACTTTGGAAGTTCGTTAATAATTGATAGAATTGTTGGTTAAAAATATTTAGACCAGTAGAATAATACGTTTTAATAAAATTACTTTCAATTGTATTTATTGCACGTAATGTATAAAAGGACTCGGGCAATTTTGAATTTTTGAACGTCATGCACAACAATTGCTACTACAATTAATCATATAAAAACAATTGTACAAAAATGAGCGGATAAGAAGTTGTTCTTTCCCAACATGTTCCGAATACCAAACACAGAAAATGTTTCATCGGCTTCAAATAGTTCGCGTGAAAGCACCTTGTAACATTTCACACGACCCACCCTGTATAAACGAGAGCAATGTTTTCAAGCCTATTAAATTGTCTACCGATGCATACAGCTTTATTGATCCGGCTCGAGAAACGAATAATAGAGACATTGTATGGACCAGAGCCCCAATCACACTGGTCAGTTTAGCTGTTTTATGACACGATAGAATGCGAGTAACACGATTAAAGCGACGACAGTACCTACTGTGGCCCGATAATTCCGTGTCGCCCTCCGCGATTTTAACGTGTCCGATTTATATGTTTGCAATTTTATTTGAACGTCCGACTTGGATATTGCTCAATACGATATTCTACGGTATTCTTTGTTCGTGTCTGGATGGTAAAACATTA